ACCCAAATCTTCCTGATATAGTTGTGCCCTAGCTTCTGTGTCTCTAATGACCCACAGACATTCTTCTCATCTTCATAACATCAGAGAAAACAACTCATCAAATCAACCGCAATGCTTTATCCCCAACTGATACAGTCTAGCTTTTGGGTCTCTAATGACCCACAGACATTCTCATCTTCATAACATCAGAGTAAACAGCTCATCAAATCAATCGCAATGCTTTACCCCAACTGATACAATCAGCAACACATTAAGATCAAGCACAACTTGGACACTGACCACCTGTGTTAGTCACTAGTCTATCACCCTTAAATCATTTGAATTAAATTGAAATCAAGAAGCAGTCCAGAACACGTCTGCAGTGAACAAAATTTCAATATAGTGTATTTACCATTTAATGGCTCAGACAGAGCGAGGATGCAAGACCCCTGACCTCAGTTAGCTGATGGCTGAACCCCCTGATGCTGACTGACCTCAGGCTGTAAGGCCCAGATTGAGTTCCCCAACCTTCTGAATGGTTGAACTCCGCAATGTTCTATTACAGGTTTCCCACGCCCTTTCTTTAAAGATGTTCAAAATTGGGAACTCAGAAAAATACCTTTGATAACCACCTCTGTCTTTGGAGAGTGGGTCCAAAGACTGGCACAGTCAGCAGGTCGGAGAGTGCAGGGGGTGGGGGGTTATGGGGCTTCAGGGGTGCCCGCGCGACTACCTTCCCAGTGCTTGAGCAATGGCTGCTGGGTCGGGAGCAGGCGAGGTTCTCCTTCCTATGGAGGATCGGGGCCCAGGCTACTTCCCGGTGCTTGAGCGATGGCTGCTGGGTCGGGAGCAGGCTTGGTTCTCCTTCCCGAGGTGGATCGGGGCCCAGGCTACTTACCGGTGCTTGAGCGATGGTGGCTCAATAGTGTGCTATTTCTGAACAACAATTTTATCAAGTGTCATGATCATCAAAAGTTACAAAAGCAAATCCTCTTTTTTTCCCACTCTGCCTGTCTTCCATAACTTCTATGGTTTCAATCTTGCCATATTTTTCAAAGTAGTCTCTCAAATTATACTCTTCTGTATCTTCCTTAATACTGCCAACAAAGATTTTCTTCCCCGTTAGATGGGCACCAGGCTTTGCTGAATCCTCTCTAGAAACAGCTCTCTTTGGTTCCACTATAGCCCATCAACTTTGTGTGGTCGAGCACACACTTTTGTATCCATCTCTTCAACACAAGAGTAAGTCACAAAACAGAAGCCCCTGGTGAGTTTTGTTTGGGGATCTCATTACCACACAGTCTGTGAGTGTGCCCCATTTCTCAGAATGTTCTCTTAAACTATCATCTCTAGTTTCAAAGCTCACACCACCAATAAACAGCTTCCTCAACTGCTTTGGTTCCTTTGAATCAGTGCCCTCCTGTCCACCGTTGGCAGTCGGAGTCCAGCTGGGAGTGACCAGACAGCAGATTTACCTCCATTTTTAATCATTTATTGTTTTAAACATTTCATCTGTTTGGCTTTTTATTTCCTTCCTCTCCATGCCCAGGGATCAGTTTGGAGGAGTTGGGAGTTTTTGGAGGCATTTTGTTGTCATGTCTTCTCCTGTTTCTATTGTTATTTGTTATTGTTCTTATTTTGTGCTGAGGTCTGTGGTCACTTATAGTGGAAAGACTTTGTTGCTAGTATGGCAAATTCTTCAGTTCATATCTGCTTTTCAGTGATACACTCTGGGTATGGCTAACTATAGGCCTTTGCCTCTGTCCCAAGATCCTGGTCATTTGGACGAGGAGGATACAGTATAATTGGTTGAGCACCCAGTTCTCTAAGAATGGACCATAGTTCTGTTAATGACAGAAAGGCAGTCAGATTTGGGCATCCCAAGAAAACCAATTAATAGCATTGACTGTGTCACTTTGGTTGTAGTAATAAAAACCAGTAACAGTAATAACATCAACGACAGACTGGATATTGTACACCCTAAGAACCAGTTATACACAACCCTTAACCACAGAAAAGAGATGTATACTTACAGTATAAACACTAAGACAAAGCAAATATTGACATACAGTAAATTTCTACTAAATGCAACAACTATACATCCACTTAACAGAAAAGAACTAATCAGTAATAGGGTAGTGTTGACTATATAAAGATTAATAAATCTTAATGGTTATACTAATAAAGATGGGAAGACAAGAAGTGGGAGAATGAAAGAAGAAAACTTTGAAAAATTAATGGAAGATGAGAGAAAGGAGAGATTAAGGAGTAAAAGGAAATTAATAGATATAGGTAAAGGTAAAAGAAAAGAAAAAATAAGAATGAAAAGGGGAAAAAAATCCAAGCCCCATATAACCAGTGAAGAAAGGAAAAGGAAATGAGTCCAAAGAAAAAAACAGAACAAAAAACTCCCCTGTGTTTTTGAATGATTGATTTCTTTTCAGGATCTGCAGTTTTGGAATCCAGCAAGTCTTGATTTTTTTCCACCTAACTTTATGGCCTGTGAGTTTATGAGGTGTCCCCCTCCTTCCAGAGGCCCCTCTGTCTGGTCACCCTAGGCCGTGCCAACTGTCCAAACTGATGTGTCCTAGCTCCGCTGTTCTTAATGGCAGTGCTTTCAGACCCAGCCCCTTCTGACAGCCACACGAGTGAAGATGATTTATAGGCCTTCGCGGCACAACCTAAAATAATCAACCCCTTCCCAAAATGGTGCCTGATTAAACACTCTGTGGCAGTATGGGAGACAGTGCGCTGGGTTTCTTCACCAGCTGTATCCTGCCTCACTAGAGTTGCTTTTGGAATAAAACCCTACGCAGTCAGTGTAGTTTACAGTAGCCATGAGCTTTTCATGGGGCTAGTGCTGCTGACCTAGTCTCCCTAGAGCTCCTGACCCTGGTGGGGCTAGAGACTGGTGCCCCTCCCCAGGAGCTGGGGTGAGCTTCCAGATTGCTTTATTCTTTCTCCATTTTTTTTTTTCCTTTCCTTCACCAAGTTATTTTCCAGGTGTCTGGATTCCAGGTCCTGGAGAGGCTGTACTTTGCTGCTGATCACTACTCCACCATTTTGTTTCCTCCGAGTGTTCATTAATCCGAACTTGATAGTGACAGCATGTCAGGAGTGACATTTCTAAGTAGTACTGGGGCCACTTGATATGTCTCATGTGCCAGTAGATGCTCAGTCAGCTGTCAGTGTCTGTGTACTTCTGCGTCCCTCACACATGCATTTAGACACACATCAGTGGCACCTTCTCCTCGGTGCTCTCTCCAGATAGGAAGGACAGCTTACCAATAATAAGTGGAGAAAAATAGGAAGAGAAAGGAGCTCCCAAGTCCATGCTTTCAGTTGTTTTTCCCATAATGTCATTCTTTGTTACTCAACTCAACAAAATCAAAGACTGAGAAGGGTGAGTGGGTTTGTTTGTGTGCTTGTGTCGTGTTGCTAAAGATTGAGCCCAGGGTCTCCTACACACTGGGCAAGCTCTCTAAGATTGCCCAAAAGATTATTAATTAAATGTCTGTCTGTTGTGGGCTTTGGTTTTGTTATTCAGCTTTGAATTTTAATAGAACTGAGTGAGGGAGAGATAAGACGGTACTTCAAACTACACTTATACCTCCTTATACCTTTTGAAGTTTAAACGTGAATATATTGCTATCCAAATTTTTAAAATAATAATTTAATATGAAAACACCTGAATTTTAGTGACAATAGAATTGCTGTGTTTCAAAACAAAAAGCTACTGAAAATTATTACTTGCACAAAAAAAATGTTTGGCTGATAGCAATCTCCTTAATCACTAGGTGTCCTGCTGCTAAAGAATACTTCAAAGAGAATTCCCATCACTGGAGCTGGGCTGTGCAGTGGCTACAGAAGAAGGTGATTGAATTCTGGACTTTTCTAACTGTGACATAAGAATCAATAGTAGAATGTTGTATCAGAAAAAATTCCCTAACCCTGACTTGTAGGCTGACCCCAAAGTGTTTTTACTCTTCAGCTATTTCTTTAATACAGCCAGTCCCTACTTGTATGCATTCAACTTGTATCTTAATATAGGAGTCCCCTTACTCACGTATGTTCCAAAACTCCTAGCTGGTGCCTGAAACCATGGATAGTACTGAACCGTATATGCACTGCTCTTTCTTAGAAGTACAAATCTGTGATAAAGTTTAATCTATATATTAGGAACAGTTAGATTAGCTAATAATAATATAGGAGGTGGGGAAGAAAATAGTAAAATAGGCAATTACAACAACATACTATAATAAAAGTTATATGAATATGTCTTGTTTTAGTTCCTTTCTGGCTGCAGGGGCAAAATACCTGACTCCCACAGGTTAAAGGAGGAAGTTTATTTTTAGTCAGTTTGCAGAGGTTTCATTTCATAGTTGGCTGGCTGCAAGGCAGGGGATAGGACAGAGGGGAAACGGTTCATGGCACGGCAGGCAGGAAGCAGCAGCCTTCCTTTTTCCTTCCCTTTTTATCTCAGCCAGGCTGCGGGCCTGTTAGTGCTCCCACACCCAGAAATAAGCTAAACCAGTGAGTAAACTAATCACTGTCACATCCATGATCCAATTACTCCCAAAAACCCCACCCGTGTGTGCGTGAGGCTTTGGGAGGACATCTACTACAGCCATAGCAGTTCTGTGTCTCTTAAAGTATCTTACTCTTCTTTACTCGCCCATCTGCTTGTGATTTTGGGAAATGACACAGTGACTGTGATGAGGTGAAAGACACGGGCCGTGTCACATAGCTATGCTTCTCTTGCCTTCTGACAGACTGTCAGTGACAAGGATCATTGAGCAGTGACCTTGTCGGCCAGGAAGAATATAAAGTATGCATATATTGCTGGACAAAGGAACAGTTTACATCCAGGGTGGGATAGGGAAGGACAGTGAGGATTTCCTGGTACTCAGACTGGTACACAGTGGTAGCTCACATCACCAGCTTACTTCATTCAGCAGTTCTGAGGAGAATGGCTGCAGTTGTGTTCATCACCCAATTCAGAGTTCACAAATGGAAGCAAATTTTGATGAGCACTTCTGTTTATGAACTGGATTGTTTTCGAGTAGAAGTGTTTGTGAAGCAGGGTATTACTGTATTTGGACTGTGGCTTGTCACAGGTGACTGAAACTAAGGGAAGTAGAACTGAAGATGAGGGGGCTGACAAGTCTTTAACTGTATAGATGAAAAGGTGGGAATGATGGTTAAGAAGCAGTTTTTCCGTCAGGTTTGGAGAGTACAGGGATCTCCCAGGTTGTGGAAGGCCTCGGGGGAAGGAGATCCCATGCTTTTAGGCTGTGGTTTTGGTGGACTCATCTGTCACCTCTAACGATGTGCTTCATCTCTCATCTCAGATGTCAGAACATTACTGGACACCACAGAGCAACGTCTCTAATGAAACATCAACTGGAAAGACCTTTCAGCGAACCATCTCAGCTCAGGTGAGGATGGTCTTTGTTCCCCTTTGTGTGCTTTGAAACCCCTTGCACAGGGTTCTCAGAATCCAAAGCCTAAGGGGTAGAGACATGGGGTGAAGATGAGAACAGGCAGAGGCACGGTGATCAGATTTCCGTGAAAGGATCGAGGATTGCTGTACACTTAGGCAAATCCTTGCAAATCATTTGCCTAGAGAAATGCTGTACAGGTGGGTGGTCTGGGCTAGCAGGGTGAGCAACTTGGTGTTCATGGTCAAGGTAAACGCGCCTTTCTCCAGGCTGCCATTGCCACCACAGGACAACAGAGGGTGGTGGCTGCTGCAAGGACAGCCTGTAACCTTTTCTGCTGTGCTTTAATATCCTGCAGGACACATTAGCATATGCCACAGCTCTGCTGAATGAAAAAGAACAATCGGGAAGCAGTAATGGGTCAGAGAGCAGTCCTGCCAACGAGAATGGAGAAAGGCACTTGCAGCAGGTACAGCTGGGGCCCCATCTCTGGCCAAAAGGGCAGCCCACTCCAGAGCTTCCTAAAGAACCTCCGTGGTCACAGTCACATCATCAAAGGTGCCGCTTGGGTGTGTATCTGAAGGTGGCACAGACCGGGAGCTGCTGCAGTGTGCAACCAGGGCAAGGCCTTGGGGTCTGGCCGGTGCGGCAGTCAGCCTGGAGGTGGTCCTGAGGGGCCAGCCACGCATGTGTTGTTCCGGTGTCCCTTCCTGCTTCTTTATCTGCCTTTCTGCACACATGGACCCTTGAAAGGGAAGCAGGTGCCAGTGTGGTAGACCTACTTGCTCGGGTGTTCAGACTAAGCCCGTTTCCTTAAAGAACATTTTCATTACTTGGCACTGGAGAACAGTGCCAAATATCTGCTCTATGCAAAACATGAACTGAGCATGACTGACTGTGTTCGTGTTGCCAGTGCTGTGTCCGTCTTTTCTGCTCGGTGTTGCTGTTCAGAGACTCGTGACCCTGCTGATTTCATAGAGGGACCTCGTTGACCCGAGATCACTCTCAGCAGGTTACCATATCACCTCCTTTCCCTGCGGAGAAAGTGAAAGCTGTTGGACAGGAGCTTCCGTGGCCAGTAGTTTCCAGACTTACAGCCACGGCATCTGCTCTGTCCCAGATCCTCTCCTGTGAAAGTGGAGCAAGTTCTTTCCTCTCACCAGAGGCCTCCTGCCCTCACCATCCGATCTTGACAGTACTTTTCTCTCTTCCACACGTCTTGAATCTCCCTCTCTGCCCTCCTTTCTGGCACTATCCCAACACGGTTCTCTCCCAAACTCTTACAGAATTTCTCTTCTCCACCAACCCCTTTTAGAATAACCTGAGCTGTCGTGCTTGCTTCTCACTCGTTCTTTAGCCCTGGCCAGCCTGACTCCCGCTGTCTCCTCTCACCCAACATTACGGTAGCACGTGGCCTGTGTCAATGCTATGGTCACTCCTCTCTTCTTCAGACGTCCTCCTCCTGTCCTCTCCTGACCCCTTGTTTTCCTCTAGTCCCCAGTAGATGTCCCACAGATCTCTATCCTACATCCTGCTTTCCTCCAGACACACACATCCGGGGAGTTAGCTCAGTGCTAAATTTAGCTCAGTGCTGCGCCTGCCTCACAAGCACAGAGTCCCGAGTTCAATCCCCAGTACCAAAAAAACAAAAACAACAGCAACAAAAAAAAAAAAAAA